GGCGGGGATGGGGCGGGGGGGGGGTGCTGATGGCGGCGGCGGTGCCTGACCCTGCGGCCATGTCGGCGCTCCCCAGATATGCAGTATGACGAGGACGACGACGAGATCACGCCCGACCTGTGGCAGGAGGCCTGCTGGATCGTTATCAGGTGAGTGCGCTTATCTCGCGGCCCCCGGGGGTGGCGGGGACCCCCTCCCTGTGCGCGCCCTGTGAGCCCCTGGGCCGCCCTCCTGGCACCAGAGAGTGGGGGGGGAAGAGGGGAAAATGTCATTTTATTTTTATAATGTTCCTGAGCAGCTCCTTGGAGCTCGCGTCTCAGGAAATCCGCACGTTTGCGTTCGGTTGGGAAGGTTTTGTAGTAAGGAAGCATCGAGTTTTTCCTATTTAGAGGGTACACCAGTTAAATTAAGAGCTTGCACCAAGTAATGCTCTTTCTCTTGGCTGTTAYAGCTCCTACTTTGACGAGAAGGGCCTGGTCAGGCAGCAGCTGGATTCCTTCGACGAGTTTATCCAGATGTCCGTGCAGAGAATCGTGGAGGACGCTCCGCCGATCGACCTGCAGGCCGAGGCCCAGCACGCCACGGGGGAGGTGGAGGAGCCGGTAGGTGCAGCGGCCCCGCGTGGCTTTGTGCTGCTCCYGTGGGCTTTGTGCGAGAGAGCCAGGAGGCAGCGGCGGGCTGGCGCTGCCCCTCGGGCTGTGCGATACCAGGTTTGGAAAAGCGGAGCACTGGGAAGGGGCGTGCAAGGGGAGTGTTTTCTGTGATCCACACTTTCCTCTTCGGTTGGGTTAGTGGTTCCTGCACGTCAGAGTCCCTCCCGAATCGGTTGGGTTAGTGGTTCCTGCACGTCAGAGTCCCTCCCGAATCGAGGAGCAGCCACTTTGCTGTGGGAGATCAGCCCCTCTGTTACTGTGTGGGGCTGCTCAGGCTGCGAGTCAGCGTCACTGGCAGGGATATAGCAGMGCAGGCCAGCTGGCTGAAAACAAAGCTTGTTCTGTTGGATTTTTGTGTTTCCGGGGGCTTTTTCATGGCAGGAAAGGTTTATGGCTGCGATGTTTTGTGCTGGTTTTCTTAACCCAGGTCAGGCCGTGCTGCTTTTCTTAACCCAGTCTTCCAAAGGTTCATTTTTGCCATCTCCCATGGGTCCCAGGCACCAAACGAGAGGTAGTTGTCCAAGGGCTGTTGTTTGTGGTCATGGGCATTCACAGACTGTGTGGGCCTTTCAGCTGCTYGTGCCCTGTAGTGTTTGGATCCCCCTTCTGTGGGTGCCAGGCAGGGTGACCCAGTCCCTACCACCAGCCACCACCTCGTTGCTTTCCTGGCAGAGCTTTAAAATACCGTTAGCGATGAAATTTGTTTCACAGCTTGACTCTCCAGTTTCATTTTTTTTTGTGGATGAACCCTTTTGTATGGAGAATAGTTGCATTTTCCCTCCTTTCTTAGAAGCATACACAGTTTTTATCTTTTGTTTTCCTCTCACAGTAATTCCTCCATTCAAAATTCTCTTGTATTGCACGTGTCGTACTATGTTGTYTGGGTGTGTAGTTTGCAAGAGATCATTGCTCTGTGTTGTTGTGGTTCRGTCACACACTTGTTTGTGCTCTTCCCTACCAAAATATGGTGTTGTGCTTTCTTGAATCAGAGAGCTTAGGTTTCTTATTTTCACCATCGTATTACGGGTTTTTTTCCTTAGGGTTAGGTCAAGATGCAAGAGAAAAGAAACCTGTTTTTTTTTTTTTTTTTTTCCCCCCTCCCCTTTTAGTCTCACTTAGATACAACCTCTTGCCGCAGATGAGGATACTTGACCCTCGTAAGGGGATTTTTTGATTCTTCTTCCCTCCACTTCACAGGTTTGAATTTTGAAGGCTGTTTGGGCTTAAAAGACACACAAGAAAGCTTAAAAACCGTGCTAAATGATAAGGAATACAGTAAATATGTTAAGTTGTGAAGCTTGGTACATCAGGCCAGTGCTGCTGGAGAAACAGGAAAAAATTGGCCCTTTGAGTAGGAATTGAGAGAATGTTTCGACCTACAAAGTGTACGTTAATAAGATGGGGACCAGCTCTGCTGCTTACTGTTGTAGGAAGCTGTTCTGTCCGTTGCATTTCTTTAAAATCAGATAATTTCTCGGGTCTTTTCAGATAAGTCTTACTTGTTTATTGATCCTATAGGATTATCCTAGGAACTAGTTTTACCCACCTTGCTACGTTTCCTGCTGGAAATAGTCATCCCCGTCCAGTTGCAGTTTTGGTTAACTGTAGGGAAGAGAGCAGGTCAGGAACACAGAGCATTAATTATTAGTACTTTGTGTGGATAGCAGCAGTGAGGATCCCATTTTGTCTGAAAGGTGTGCTGATTTGATACATTAATGCAATAATCTGCTTATTCTACAAAAAAAAAAAAAAAAAAAAAAAAAAGCCCCAGATTTTCCAGATTTTTAGGAAATTTAGGACCAAATGGATGGAAGGGGTGATTCCCGCTTTGCCTGCGGGAGTGGGCCCAGGGTGTGCATTGCCTTTGCATATGGGCTTCAGAAAGTGTAGCCGCCGGGGACGTTTTCACGAGACAAAGGATTTTGCTCCGTCCTAGAATGATCTCTGCATGTGCTGTCTTAGTGGCGAGGCCTGGTAGAGTMCCTTGACTCTGATAAAGGGTCAGGGGCATCCGTGGAGCTGAGGCTCTGCGCTAGAAATAGCTGACTTCRAGCAGGAAAGTAGTGGGAGACTAAATGGCAGCACTTTGTGGCTCTTTATTTGTGTGAGCTGCTGTCCTGTGAAAGGACACGGTGTGAGTCAGGAGCTGAAGAAGAGGTTTCAAGTCAGCAGGTCCTTCACATTGGGTATGTGCAGGCCTGATGATTTCCTTGTGTTTGCTGGGTTGTGGTTAGCAAAGAAATGCTCTGTGAAGCATGTCTCATCTCTGGGTCCTGGGACATGCAAGCAGGCCACGCTCATGCTCAGTTTCCACTGAACTGATGATACACTTTGGTCAGGGTATKGCTTTAAAACTTAAAAACTTTTATTTTGGAAGCCAGGCTTTGGTTTCCATAAGGTACAAGCTGTAAGTCTCATCACAGTAGGAATCAGAATGGGATGACTTGGAGGTTGGAGCAAAGTGAAGGTCCTGAGAATCCCTCTGTTGCTGAAGGTTCTGGGACAACCTCAGAGGATTTCAGCAGAACTAGAATTAAACTAATTTTGATAAGGTCTCTSCAAGAACTTTATGAAAACCAGCACCCTGTCCAGATACGTAAACTGTCTCACGTATTGAAGAAGTTGCAGCTTTTTACATAGTAAAACTGCTATCGTTAGCTAAACCTCCGTGCAGAGCCCAGTTCTGAGAAAAGCATTTTCTACTGGTTAATATCCCCACTGCTTTGGCAGATGGGGGGCTTGGTAGTTGCTCCAACAGAGGGTTATTTTTCCTTCTGCTAAASGTTTTGACCTGATGGTTTTCTTTGCATATTTGTATTAATGATCTGATTAGAAATTATTGGATGTTTTTAAGTGCTTTTTTTCTMAATGAAGAGGGATTGTTTCCTTCTTCTGAGCAAAGATATGGAGCTGCGCTGCATCTTAAATGGATCTTAAATCTGCCTTGTACAACCCAACCTGATGTTTCCTCTGCTGCAGCTAAATGTCCTCTTGTTTTCCAGCCCCGCTACCTGCTGAAGTTTGAACAAATTTACCTCTCCAAGCCGACTCATTGGGAGAGAGATGGAGCCCCCTCACCTATGATGCCCAACGAAGCCCGGCTGAGAAACCTCACGTAAGAAGGACCTCTGTGGAGGGCAACCRAAGGAGGCCCCAGCTCTCTGCCATTATAAACCGATGCTGTCTCTCAATTTACTCGCACCCTGGAGACTTAATGACCACTTCTGTGTTTAAATCACAATGTCTGGTTGTTGCATGCAGATAATGAGTTGATGATGGTGCTTAATGTTGAATAGGGAGTGCTGGAATAGCTGTTATTATCATCTTTCTGTGCTGTCTGCAATAATAACTGAGAGATAAGGTAGTGTTGTTTGCATTCTGTAGGTATTCAGCCCCTCTGTACGTGGATATAACTAAGACAGTTATCAAAGAGGGGGAAGACCAGTTGCAGACCCAGCACCAGAAGACATTTATCGGGAAAATCCCCATCATGTTGCGCTCCACGTACTGCTTGCTGAACGGCCTCACTGACCGCGATCTGTGCGAGCTGAACGAATGTCCCCTGGACCCYGGCGGCTACTTCATCATCAACGGATCAGAGAAGGTGAGGGGCCGTGTCTTGCACAGTCTGTATTACAGAGCCCAAAGGTTTAATGTTAATTATTGGTGAGTCTTTTYGCAGGAAGACAAGTGCTTTTATCCCAGGGTGCTACCTTTGCTTCAGGTTCTTAACCTCTTGCAGAAAGAGGAGCTTTTGACCCCTGTTTAGGTCCCCTATTTAGGCATCTTTYCTCCTCCTCCCACGACACACATTTCTTTCTACAATTTTGCAGACTGATGTGTACTGAATGCCAGAGGTTTAGTTATTCTCTTGTGCTTTCAGCCTCCCTTGTTATCAGTTATTTATGAGCGTGCTCGTCTCAAGTGCAGGTCCTGATCGCTCAGGAGAAAATGGCTACAAACACAGTGTACGTGTTTGCCAAGAAGGACTCCAAGTATGCCTACACGGGAGAGTGCAGGTCCTGCCTGGAAAATTCTTCTCGACCAACAAGCACCATCTGGGTTAGCATGCTGGCCAGAGGCGGGCAGGTAAGCCGAGCAGTAAAACACTCCCCACTGCCCCCCGTGAAACAGCTGGCCCTGTGTCCGAGAGCCATTCTGTGATTCTCCTACCGTCCTGTCACTTCGTGTCGTTGCCTTTGGGCATTTTGCGGTTTCTTTGCATGTGAAGTGGTGCAGGAGGTGAAATTGTATGAAATTGTCTTTAGTTCCTCATAGATTGCGCTCGCCTGTGGGCTGAGTGATTCATTTTGGGGCTGGAATGGAGACTCTCGTGGTGACAAGCTGGGAGGTGTTGACTAAAGGATCTGTTGAAAATTACTCTAAATGAGTTTTTAGAGACTGAATTCAGTGTAGTTATAAGCGTATCACTTAAGTCCAGAAAGAGATTTTTTTGTTTAGAGACCAAATCTTCTGAAACAAGTGTGTTTTTCTTCTGCCTTTCAGGGTGCAAAGAAGAGCGCTATTGGCCAGCGGATTGTGGCAACTCTGCCATACATCAAACAAGAGGTGCCCATCATAATTGTCTTCCGTGCACTGGGCTTTGTGTCTGACAGGGACATCTTAGAGCACATCATCTACGACTTTGAGGATCCAGAAATGATGGAGATGGTAATTAATAGAAATAACGTATTTCCTAGCTTAACGTTGGATGGTATCTAGTGGTATTGAAAGTCTTTTTGTTTCTTTCCCAATTGTAATTTGTTCTGTCATTATTTTTGTTAGAAATAACAAAAGCTTTGTGCCTAAACCCATTCTGGGGAATGCATTAAGTGCACAAAGTGCACTGGAAATCTTGACATATTTGTTGAAATCAATATTTGGAGAGGTAGAGTCTTGTCCGGCTGCCATTGATTTTTTTTTTTTTTTTTTAACTTGTAAAATCTCCGTTTGTATTTGAGGTAGCAACAGGCCAAGAGGATGCTTCTGAGATGTTTTCTGAAGTCTAAAGTTTTACATTCTTCCAGCTCTGATTCCTGCTGCACCAGATTAATGTTTTCTGGTGGTTTTGGAAGAACTACTGAGTTAAAGCCTGAAACTTGTTAGAATTGGATCTGTAATTAGCAGCTTCCCACACAGAATCCTCTACAAATGCTCTGCAGTTTTTCTCAGCTCTCCAGGGTGCTTCACGGTGTTGCTGTGTCTTGTGCTTTAGGTCAAACCTTCTTTGGATGAGGCCTTTGTGATCCAGGAACAAAACGTCGCTCTGAACTTCATTGGCTCGAGAGGCGCAAAGCCAGGTGTCACCAAGGAGAAGAGGATCAAGTACGCAAAGGAAGTCCTGCAGAAAGAGATGCTGCCACACGTGGGCGTCAGCGACTTCTGTGAGACCAAGAAGGCCTATTTTCTAGGGTAGGCCMTGTTGTTTCTTAGCTGCACCTTCCCTTGCCTGCAAGTACAAGTTGTTTCATGGTTTTGCTTTTTGTGAAGCATGTGGCTCATAGAAGCATGTGGGGAATTTGAATTTCTTTTGGAGTGCAATCTCTGGATACTTCTAGCACATGTATTCACAGCTGAGAAAAGATAAATGGTGATAAAATAGAAATATAAGCTCTCCACACACCCCAAGTCTTGTTTTAGGTGCAATGGTCATGACAAAGTACTTTTCTTGACCCCACTTTGCAGGGGAAACATTTTTTTGTCGTGGCTGGTAATTACTGACAGTCTGTGTGTAACATAGTTCACTCTTGAAAGCTACTCTCATGTCCTGGTTATCACTAATGCCTGGTAGGCAGGTGAATTGCAGCATCCAGAGACCTCTCATTGTATCCACAATTCCACAGTACCTTTTATGTGGTTTTGCCCTCAGTTTAAGCATAGTTCCTGGGTTGCCCCCAGTTTAAGCACAGCCAGCCTTACTGTATGGGATAGTCAGGAAGCGGGAGGCCAAAGTACAGTGCTGCTGTGATCCCATAACTCCCTTCATCTGCAATTCCCTGGACGTGCATCACTGAGCTCCGACGGTTTGTATGGTGACAAGGTCTGTGTTAGAACAGCAGCGATTTGATTCGCTCTAGGCTTGCCAATATTTATGAAACAGCCTCCTGACTTACCTCATCAATACATAATCTGGGTTGGGAATGGGTTGAAACACTAATTTTTCTTATTTGGTCAGGTACATGGTTCACAGATTGTTGCTGGCAGCACTGGGGAGAAGAGAGCTTGATGACAGAGATCATTATGGCAACAAAAGACTKGATCTTGCCGGGCCGCTGCTGGCTTTCCTGTTCAGAGGGTAAGCAGAATAGGGGGATGTTCTTTGGAGGTCCTTGGTGGCAGCTGCATGGCAAATTCTCTGCTGCTGCTGCCTACGTCCAACTCTTCTGTTGTGTCTAAGAGCTGGCAACACAAAGGGGATGAGTTTGGATTTCCTGCCATGGTAGGTGCTTAGAACCAGCTTATGTTTTGAAGCACAAGAGGTTGATATCATCCCATGTTTTTATCACTTGGAATGCAACTTGGTCCTACCCTGATGCACATTTATAAACAGATAAGTGAGTTTGGGTTTCGGCAGGCTCGCTTTTTCCTCTAGGTGTAAATTACTTGCTCTTATTTAGCAACATTTCTTTTTTTTCCCAAGTAGTGCTAGATAAACTGAGTTGCTACAGCAGTGTCTAATCGTATCTCTGGGCTGGTTTTTTTACAGAATGTTTAAGAATTTGCTGAAGGAAGTGAGAATTTATGCACAGAAGTTCATTGACAGAGGGAAGGATTTCAATTTGGAACTGGCCATCAAAACAAGAATTATTTCGGACGGTTTGAAGTATTCATTGGCAACTGGAAACTGGGGGGATCAGAAGAAAGCTCATCAGGCCAGAGCAGGAGTGTCTCAGGTAAGACAGCTCAAAGAGGCACCAGGGCATTTGTCAAGGCTGCCTAAAAATAAAGTTGTCTCGTGGAGGAGTTTAACCCTGCAGCCAGAGGCCACTGTTGTGTCTGAGACAGCACTTTCCTCCGAAGGAAATTTCCACGCCTGAAACAGGTGGGGGGGATTCAAGGAGCTGAACTTTGGTGTATTTCCTTGTTCTGGTTCTAGTCACCGCGTTCTCACGTAGTGCAGTGGTTGGTGGTGTTCGAAATTGCTCCAGTTTGCATTAGAGCAGATTCCTGAGTGTTGCAAAGAACTGAGTTCTTGCATGCCAGCCCCTTCTGTTTGCTGGAGTCCTTGAGGGATTATAAATTGGGGAATGCAAAGGACTGAAAGAAGGAGAGATGGCAGCTGCCTCTAGATGCTGTGTTTTTTCTGTGTGTGTAAAGGCATTGTTTGGGCTTTTTTTTGTTTTGTATTTTTTCGGTAAGTTCTCGTGTTTTATGCTGTAAAATTAAATTTCCTTAAATTTCCAAGGAGCTTTGAGCAGGCTCTACAAAAAACAATGCACACGTAGGTTTGCTCCTGGCAACCAAGTCTGCCATGGAAGAGATCTCTCAGTAGTGCTACGTATATCCTGTGTACGTACAGATACAGGTATATCTGCCAGTATACTGGCAGACTGCTGGTAAAAATACAGCCTAGAGAGTACTTTTGCAAGTACCATTTATTGTGAGGATGAGATACATTGCCAGAAACACCTCTGTGCTTGGTGACCCACGCAGGTGCTGAACCGACTGACGTTCGCGTCCACGCTGTCCCACCTGAGGCGCCTCAACTCGCCCATCGGCAGGGACGGGAAGCTGGCCAAGCCCCGGCAGCTGCACAACACGCTCTGGGGGATGGTTTGCCCTGCCGAGACGCCGGAGGTAACGGGAGTGGTGCCTGGAATTGGGGCCTGCGTGGCATGAGTGGGAGAAGGGAGTAAATAGCATATTTTTTATGCAGCCCCTCGGGGCCTCAAAGTTTTAGTGCTTGTATTGTTGAAGGGCCTCTTGGTTTGGAAATACACAATTACCTTGTGTGTCTGCACCAGGGTCACGCCGTGGGGCTTGTGAAGAACTTGGCCCTGATGGCCTACATCTCTGTGGGGTCTCAGCCCTCGCCAATTTTGGAATTCTTGGAAGAGTGGAGTATGGAAAACCTGGAAGAAATATCTCCAGCAGCAATAGCCGAGTAGGTGCAAATGAGATTGCCTAAGCAGAGTGTCCTGGGTGGTTTACTCCATGGAGTGTTTGGAGCTGTCTCRTGGCTTGCCTCTCTCTCCTTTTCCTAGCGCCACCAAGATTTTTGTTAACGGCTGCTGGGTAGGGATACACAAAGACCCGGAGCAGCTTATGAACACGCTGCGGAAGCTGCGGCGCCAGATGGACATCATTGTGTCAGAGGTACAAGTGTTAAAGCCAGGCCTCGGGTATCTCTAAATGAGGGAGCATAGTGAGCTGAGGCTGCTTTGCAAGCTCTAAAGAGAATATTCTGAGTGGAATATTTCTGTTTGTAGGAGCATGATACATCTGCTGTGCTGCTGAGCACAACTGTAAAGCCTTTATTTTAGGGAACTTGGTCACCTCTTGGGAACTTTATCACCTTTGTCAGGCTTGGCCTCTACTCACTGGGTCTCGCTGCTTCCTCCAACAGGTCTCCATGATCAGGGATATCCGGGAGCGCGAAATCCGCATCTACACAGATGCAGGCAGAATTTGTCGGCCCCTTTTGATTGTGGAAAAGCAGAAGTTACTGCTGAAGAAACGGCACATCGACCAGCTGAAGGAGCGGGAGTATAACAACTACAGGTGAGAGGGGTCGAAAATCCAGCCCAGTGCTGGATTATATGTGAAGTGAGAAGTGCTCGAAACTGGAGCGCAAAACTGCTCTCTCTGATAATGTAATATTTATTTATAAAAAAATATATTTGTGTCTATATATTATATATATTTGCATATATATATATATATATATATAAAATCTAAAATATAGGATCATGTGGTGGTGGTAATAGTAGGGTGGAGAAGTCCTTTTTCTTGGCACTGATGGAGAGCCCCGTTCCTGGGCATTTCTGCTCGTTTAGTTGGCAGGATCTTGTGGCCAGCGGTGTAGTGGAGTATATCGATACTCTGGAAGAGGAGACTGTGATGCTGGCCATGACGCCAGATGACCTGCAGGAGAAGGGGGTTGCCTACTGCTCAACATACACGCACTGCGAGATCCACCCCTCCATGATCCTGGGAGTTTGTGCTTCCATTATCCCCTTCCCCGACCACAACCAGGTCAGTGGCATCACCCCGTTCTCGAGGCTGGTAGAGAACCTATAGCTGCTTGGGTAAAGAGCTCGGCATGTACATGTGCCCCTGTGCATTTGCACACATATATGTGCACATACATAGATATATTAAGATAATGAAGGTACTAGAGCGCCGTCTCGCTCTAGTTCTTCCGACGCGGGCACATCGGGATCTTTCCTGTGCTGTTCCGATCTGGAAGGATCTTCCTGTCCTTGTGCGCAGTCTCCTAGGAACACGTACCAGTCGGCTATGGGCAAGCAGGCCATGGGAGTTTACATTACCAACTTCCACGTCCGGATGGACACRCTGGCCCACGTGCTCTACTACCCTCAGAAGCCCCTCGTGACAACGCGCTCCATGGAGTACTTGCGGTTCAGGGAGTTGCCAGCAGGTATGGTGCCAGTTAATGCTTATTAGCAATGTTACTCTGTACTTAATACATTAGCACACTGTGTGGATAAATACTCCAAGCAGCAACACTAATAGTCTAGTAATGTTTTTTTACAGTCTTGGTGCCAAGGTGCAAGTTAACATCCTAACTTTATCATTCATCTAAAAATACAAAATATTGACTAAGTATCTAGGTCAGACCCATTCACAWTTTTTTTTAGCTCAAATGAAAGAGGAACATTTTTACTCTTTTTTAAAAAGGCATATTTTTGCATTGGTATTTGCTAGGTTCCCCACCAGGGGTCCTTCTTCTCCTGATAAAACCTCCAATCTCCTTTCTGCCACCCTTGCATTTACTGATTAATAAGTGCATTTTAAAGATGGTTTATCTAAGAAAGCATAGATCAGCTTCCATGTAGAGAACACAACTTAACATTTTGAGCTGTAAGTAATGTCTGAGGGGTATGTTTGCATCTCAGCAAAATATTTGCTCTGCAYGTTGCAGGTATCAACTCGATTGTAGCCATTGCATCGTACACGGGCTATAACCAGGAAGACTCTGTCATCATGAACCGTTCTGCTGTGGATAGAGGCTTTTTCAGGTGTGATATTTTAAGGAGTTTGAAAATAAAATAAAACCTAATATATTTCATCAGTTTTCCAGAAGTCTGAGAGAAGCTCATCCTACACCTCAAACACTTGTCCCAATTTGTTCAGATTGAGAAGTGTTTAAAAAAAATATTTGGGGGAGGAAGCAATAGCACAGTGAAAAATTGTTGTGTTCACTCTGGGAAAAGGTCTTTGTATGGGCATTTGATGGAAAAATATTTGCATCCTTGCTGCCTGAGCTGTTAGTTGTACAATGCCAGTATTGCAGCTTTATGATAGAGTTGTGTCTTTAGTAGCRTGACAGCTGCCTGTGAGGATTGGAGTATTCCTCTCCTAAATATTGTASTTCCCCTTGGGACAACAGGTGCGATTTTAACCCTTCCACCTTTTGCTGCTGTTTAGATAAGGTAAGAGTGTAATGTTTTGGCCAGCGAATTTCTAGGTCTTTTTTGTTTCGCCTAAAGAAGGTGGATGTGCAGCATGTCCCCAGGAGCATTTAAATGTGTTTTCCACTGCAGCTCGCTTGTGCTGAGAGCGGATCTTAGGAGTAGCCATAGAAGCCTTAAAAAGCTTGTCAAGTGTCAGGTAGAAAGAAAAGAAAATCTTAGAATGATGAGACAAAGATGTGAAAAGTCCCCAGGAATAAGAACTGCTGTGGAGAGGTCACGCAGGTCTGAAGGTCTCTGCAACTCACAGTTAATAGTACATTATCTGTAGGTGTTTTGACACTATCTGAAAAGTGACCATTAAAACACTCCACTGAACTAGTGTGATTTTCCTCGGTGACAGTGGGATTTGCAGGACTTCAGAGAAAAGTTGGTGGGATGCTCTTGGCCTTGTCCTGACTAACAGCAGCCAYAGTACGTGGGTGTCATGAGGTTGAGCTGTGCAGGCTGAGCCCGGGGGATTTGGGCTGACTGCTCCCCRCTTCCTGACTGTGTTTCAGGTCTGTGTTCTACCGCTCCTACAAAGAGCAGGAGTCCAAGAAAGGCTACGACCAGGAGGAAGTTTTTGAAAAGCCTACCCGGGAAACGTGTCAAGGTAAGGTGCAGCACTATAGAAAGACTGAGCTTGTCAATTTATTTATTTGTTTGCTTATTTTTTCAGCCAAATAGAGATGTCTGAACAGCAAAGTGCATTGGCTAAGATGGCCRTTTAGAAAGATCTTTGGATGTTGCAGCACTAGGCCGAAGTTGCCAACAGACCTGTTGAATTTCTGCAAAACCTCCAGATCTGTGTGTTGGAAATTTAAGGCATCTGATTTCCTGTTTTTCTTTCATTCCTCAGGCATGAGACATGCCATCTATGACAAACTTGATGACGACGGCTTGATAGCCCCCGGGGTGCGCGTGTCTGGGGACGATGTTATTATTGGTAAAACAGTAACTCTGCCGGAAAATGAGGATGAGCTGGAAAGCACCAACAGGCGCTTCACAAAGAGGGACTGYAGCACTTTCCTGCGAACTAGTGAGACGGGTATCGTGGATCAGGTCATGGTGACTCTTAACCAGGAAGGATACAAGTTCTGCAAGATCAGGGTGAGCACTAACACCTCTGCRTTTTGTAGTTAATCCCTTTTTTTCCCCCAGAACTCAAGTTATCCATTGATTTTTTTACCTGTGACTTGCAGGTACGCTCTGTAAGAATCCCACAAATTGGAGATAAGTTTGCCAGCAGACATGGTCAGAAGGGAACCTGTGGAATCCAGTACAGGCAAGAGGTAGTGCATTTGGTGTGTGTGTGTAGTGGTGTTTTGTGGGTTTGGGTTTACATTTTTCTACACTCCTCCTTTCAAACATTTTATTTCTCACCTTAAGTGAGTTGTCTGGAAAACTCCTGTATCACAATGTGTATCCTACTGCGTCACATCAGTGTGACTTACAGCTTTAAAATCAGCAAGAATGGCCTTAGAAAGGGACACCTCCTGTATCCTAGTGTGCCCCTGAAATGCCTGAAAGTATCTCCTGTGAATCCCTGGAACGGCCCTTGTTGAAGTCGGTGCTCCAGGAGGTCCTGACCGTGTCTTTTCCCGCTCCAGGACATGCCCTTCACCTGCGAGGGCATCACGCCAGACATAATCATCAACCCCCACGCCATCCCGTCCCGCATGACCATTGGCCACTTGATTGAGTGTCTGCAGGGCAAGGTAAGAGAAGGGCTTTTGTTGCATGTCTGAGCACTGGGTACTAAACCACTGCCTTCAAGATACTGTTGGCTGGTGTTTGTTGATCCATTGGAAAGTGGATTTACGTAAGAAAATGCCCTCACTGCATTTATGTGAGAGCAAAGGCAGTTTTCTTGAGGAGGACCTGCAGCCCTCTTTATTTTTGTCAAGCAAGTGACCTTGCAGTTGACTCTGCAGTTGGTTGTTTTAATTTATTCCAAGTATTCCCTGTCACTTAAGGAATGAAGTCTTATGTTTCAGTATTAAAAGCTGCAACTGTTTCATCAGCCTTTGAAAAAATCTGAGAGTTTTTGCAAATCTTTTCTCTGCAGGTGTCGGCAAACAAGGGGGAAATTGGGGATGCGACGCCCTTTAATGACGCCGTCAACGTGCAGAAGATTTCCAATCTCCTGTCAGATTACGGCTATCATCTGAGAGGAAATGAGGTACAGCCAAAGTGCCAGCTCATCTGTAGGGCTTGTTTTGCTTTGTTTTTAATGCCCTTTTCAAGGACAGCGGGGCTWATGACACCATGACTGCGTTTACTACCTCAGGTCCTCTACAACGGATTCACTGGCCGAAAAATCACGTCGCAGATTTTCATYGGGCCCACGTACTACCAGCGGCTGAAGCACATGGTGGATGACAAAATCCATTCTCGTGCGAGGGGGCCGATCCAGATCCTTAACAGACAGCCCATGGAGGGTAGATCTCGGTGAGGACCTGTATTGCTTTCCGTGCGGGGTTTTGGGGGGKTTTTTTGAGTCTTGGACCTAAATTCTGGTTGCCTCAGCTGCATCTCTAGGGCTTAATTGATTTACCCTAATTAGCTCCCTGTTTTGGCRTGTTTGACTCGAGGGGAGCACAGCGTCCTTTTAACTTTTCCCTCAGGGTTTTATCGTCCAGGGTTAGAAGAAAAATAATGCGTGTCTTTGTTCCTGCTTGGTGAGACTCTGCCCAGGCACTGGTGGGTTTGGTCAGTGGGCTCAGAGGGTCTGTTCCTTGCTCCTCAGGGACGGCGGCCTTCGCTTTGGGGAAATGGAGCGCGATTGCCAGATCGCTCACGGAGCAGCCCAGTTCCTGAGGGAGAGGCTCTTCGAAGCCTCCGACCCGTACCAAGTGCATGTGTGCAACCTCTGCGGGATCATGGCCATTGCAAACACCAGGACGCACACCTACGAATGCCGGGGGTGCCGCAACAAAACTCAGGTAGGTGCAAGGCCACTGGCCCACGTTCCTCCTGCGGGATAACAGGACATGTCGTGTGTGTGAACGGCAGAGGAGGAGTGTGTTAGGTTCAACAGCACAAATGTTGAGGTGTTGATCGTGTCCTAGTTCACCCAGATACTTCCTCATGAGTTTGCAGTGGCAGCTTGGCACTCGGCAGGAAAGGTCACCCAAGTATTTTGCAGCGCAGGCTTCTCAGAGGCTTGAAAAGCAAAGACCCCAGAGGCTCTTTGTAGAACATTCAAAGTGTAAGTCTCAACATTGTGAGAATTTGGAACTGTCACCCTTGTGACTGTCCCCATGAAACAGTTAGGTTCCCACAGCTCTGTAGTGTGTACTTGGTTCCAGAGCTCTGCCAGGGGCCAGCMCAGGTAACTGCTTTCACCTGGATCAATCCTGTTCCTGTGCTGGGCACTGACTGCTGCCACCCTGCCAGCAGCTTGGGCTAAAGAGGAGATGTGTGACACAAGCCTGGACTAACTATAACTGCATTTGGTGCACRGCAGGCAAACTTCCCTGGGTGGATGCTCCCTGGTAAAAGGGCTCCTGTGGCAGCTCCCAGCTCTTGGCTGCAGGTCTCAGCACTAAAAGTGAATTCTGAAGAGCTGCTCTGCAGCCTCCAGAGAGTCTCTTGGCCTCCTYCTTCCTTTGTCACTGCCTTTGAGCTTTGCTCATTAAGCGCTTCCGAACATAACTTCCCATCTAGCTGTGTTCCCCAAGCTTCCCAGGTTATTRTGGAGAAGGTGGTGGGAGTTTGTGCTCTAGAAGTGCTAACCACAAGTCTTTCGAACTGTGTTTCCAGATCTCTCTGGTTCGAATGCCCTATGCCTGCAAGCTCCTTTTCCAAGAGCTGATGTCCATGAGCATTGCACCTCGGATGATGAGTGTTTAGCCTTTAAAGGGATGCTTTTTTTAAATGGTGAGACTGAACTGCTCAGGTTTTGTTCCATTTCGTGTAGGTTGTATTCAGAATACAATTTCACACACCTGCCATCTCCTGCGCGAAGGTATTGTATGTTTATTTCGTGTAAATAGAATTAAAATTTGTAATCAAACATGTGAATCTGTTTATTGGTACGCGTGCAAAAGAGAAAAGTGTGCAAGCAAATCCGTGCYGAAGGAGGCGGTATCAGCAATGGCGGCAGGAGGTTGCTCACGGGTGGCTATAGAAAGCCAGAGGTTGCAGCTTGACCTAGAGCTCAYGAACACTGGCGCGAGGGGCTGCCGGCCTGTCACAGCTCTGCACCAGCATCTGTGGAGAAACAAGGACAGGGAGTGCTGTGGTTTGCTGCATGGGGTCATGGAGCAGCTTGGGCGTTGGCAGAGTGAGGAGAGCCAGAAAATCCTGTGTGCAAGTGATGTGRGGAATCATTCCATGTTCTTGTTTCGCTGCCAGGTACTGCTAACATTCCCCTAAAGGAAATCCTGAGGCTATTCCAGGGATGGAAGCACCTAGGAGCTCAGGACTGCTGCTCTGATAAAGGTTAGCAAGCAGCAGCAAAGCCAGCGGGATTCCAAGTGGGATTGTAACCTCGAGAGGGCTTGGGCTTCCCAAAGCTTCCCCGCTAGTGCCTCTGTCTGCAGCACCCTTGCGTTTATGGTCTTATTGTTCAGCATTCACCGCCCAGCACTCCAGCGAACAGGAGCTGGGTTGTTCTCAGGCTGGGGAAGGAGGAACATGGAGCTGCAGGGACCTGGTAGGAATTYAAGTCCCTGAAGCGTCTTGGCGATGGGAGTGCCAGGACCGCTCCCCGGGAAGGGGTGGCACATTTGGAAGCGTTCCGAGAACACGGGAAGTGCATCTCGAGGATACCAGCTCAGGCCTGGAAACCCCCTGAAAGCTCCTTTGTTAAAAGCCCTGCATCTATTTTTGATTTTGTATCTTGCTCTCCAGCACTTAGCAGCCCTTGAGGGCACTGTCACTTGGGGGCACCCGCAGCGCCTACCTTTGCCCAGGGCTCCTTGGTGCAGCGTTTCCACCACGTGGATTTTGGCAGAGGCCGTYGCTTCGCCCTTGGCATTGGACGCGTGGCACTCGTACTCGCCGGCGTCCTCTTTGCTCAGAGGMGATATCTGAGGGAGGAGGGAGACCCATCCCGGTGAGCATCCTGTGCCTAATTCAGGCACAGGACCCTCTGTTTGGGGCCAGCTCGAGGGGCATCGTGGAGAGCAGCGACCAGCAGCTGCCCCATGGGGACCCTGTTCCTGGAGCCTTTCCYTGCAGGAGCAGCCCCAAGGACGAGCACGCACCCCTGCAGCTCTGGGCTCTTCTGCCCTGCTAGGCCAGGGGGAGCAGGGCTGGAGGCCCYGAGTGTTTGCTTTGTTTGGAGACCTGGGAACCTGGCGTGGGGAAGGAGAGGCAGGGAGCAAAGGCTCCCGTGGAATGTGCTACGGGGATTCCGCGGAGCTGCAGCTGCTCCTCGAGCTCGGGAGGCCTCTCGAGGCGCCCCGTGACCGGCAGCAGCACAGAGCCCCGCGCAGGAAGCGCCGCGCGCGCCACTCACCAGCACCCAGCCCGTCACTTCGTGCTTCTCCGGGCCCCCTCGCGTCTGGATGGCCAGGTTCTCCCGGTCCCCGGGCAGGAGCTCCATCCTCTGCACGCCGTACTGTCCCCGAATTATCTGAGAGGAAGGACAGAAGGCTCGAGGGTCAGGGTATGGCAGAACCGCGAGGGCAGCGCTCCCGAGGGAGCTGAGCACGAGGCRGGAAGAGCAGCGCCCGGAGCTCTTCTCCACGTGGCTCGCAAGGTAGGACCCCCTCAGCTCCACTGGGGTCCCCCCAAAGCACCTGGGTGCTACTGGTGCCAATGAGGAGGGCACAGGTCACGTGCTGCAGCCAGAGCCACAGGAATTCAGTGGATGGGATCGCTCACGTGGGAGACCTCACGCGAGCTGCGTTTGCGAGGGGCTCCTGCTGCCCACCCCGAGCCTCGRCGCGAGCCCTACCTTGTTCCAGGTGAGCACGGGCGTCGGGATGCCGATCACCTCGCAGCTCAGGTAGATCTGCGCTCCCGTCACGTTCCAGATGTCCTTGGGAGGGGTCACAATGGAAGGACCTGCCACGAGGGAGAAGAGCCGCTCGGCTCCGAGCTCACGGGGAGCCGTGAGCCCTGCTTGAATGGGGCTCCTTTCCAGGAACAGAGCTGAGTCTGCCTGCCTGGATCAGGATCTGCATGTGGATGTTCATCCCTCAGGGGATGAACAGGGGAAGGGCCCCTCAGGGCCCTTCTCCTTGTCACTGTTTGCTGGGGTTCCCTGTGATGCGGGAGGAACATGGGCCCCCCAAGAACCAGCATCTCCCCCAATGGGGCTGGGAAAAGACCCCGACTCTCCGTGGGGCRTCGCGGAGCCGGGAAGGGCTGCGCACGCAGCCAGAGGGAGCACCGGAGTCGTGAGAAGAGCCAGGCTCTGCTCTCCAGGGATATTCCACTCTGGAATAGTCAGAACRCTGGGATCAGACTCTACCCTCCACTAAAAATAAACGAGGAAGGCCAAGAAGTCAGCAGCTTTCAACGAGGATCAYGACATATCCTGCCTGTTGTTTTTTCCCCTTCCTAGGGAACGCTGCTTGGTTCCTTGTTARGAGAAAAAGGGCATCATGCGGCGCTGGCTCCGCCCCGGCACGGAAGGAGACCTGGAGAGCACCCGTGTGGTTCAGCATCACCCGCRGCCTCACAGACCCCCCCTGCCACCAAGTGCCCTCGCCCGGACAGGGGCAGCAGCCCCTGCAGCAGCAGCCAAGGAGGTGGGTGCCAGAACCTCCTGGGGACTCSCGGGACATGGACACACAAACAGGGGAGGCAGCAGCGCCAGGAGCAGCGCTGGGAACAGTCCCACCTTGCAGAGAGCAAAGCAGCGGTCGCTGCCCTCAGGGTCCTGCTCGTCCTGGTCCTGCTGAGGAGAGGACAGGATAGGACAGGGCAGGATGGGATAGGACAGGGCAGGACAGGAATCCCCACATGGTGGAGGTCCCAGCTGAGGTCTCTGTTTTCTGCTTCCCCCTCGCCAGGGCACTCGGGGACACTGCAGATGTTCAGGTTATTTCCCGCCCTCCCCCTGATGTTTTTCCTGGCTCCACGGAAGCTTTTTGGCTGAACAGAAAGTGCAGGCCCCTCGTGGAGAGCGGCTGCTCCGCTGGCGTTCCCAAATGGCTCTGCCCGGTGCTCTCAGCCAAACAGCTCTCCAGGGCCAGGGAGAGGCTCGTGTGAGGCAGGGAGCTCGCTGCAAAGCCCAGCACTTGCTTCCTGCCGCTCCCGGGCAGCTGATGGYCTGCACTTTGTCACCAGCAGCAGCCAGGGAAGGCCTCAACTTAGCTGCTTTCCTGGCAAAGCACCGCACAGCAGCACCCGGGACACCCTCGGCGAGCTCACGGCTTCTCCCTGCTCCCAGCCCTTGGGATGTCCCATTCCCACCCTTCAAGATGCCCCGTTCCCAGTCCACGCACGCCCCTGTTCTGGTGCTGCGTGGGTGCTCAGTGCTGCTCAGCCTTGTGTGACAGGGTGGCCTCTGCACGGCGCTCAGCCCTGCGCATCCCTCCTCACCCAGGAGCTCTCCCTGGGACAGCAAGTCAAAGCCAAAGCCCRGCGGTTTTCACTCTCGTGCAAGCCTGGAAATAGCCCCACTCCGTCCTCCCGAGCTGCTGGGAAAGTGCCTTTATATGGAGAAGAGGAAGCTGCTTGCGAATTCCAGCTCGCGTGCCTTGGGCTGCTGCTTCCCAGGGCAGCGCTCGGGGAGGAGCGGCCGCGCACGGGAAGTCTAAACATCTTCAAAGCAGTTTGTCTCTCCCTGTTCTCAAAACTGCCTGCTTTTTTTTTTCCCTTTTTCTGGCAGGTTTACAAGCGCGGCTCCTTATTTGGAAGGCGTTTTTCTCTCTCCTTGAACGTGAGCTCAGAGCGCCCAGGGAGCTACGGAAAGGTGCTCAGAGCACAACACGCTGCTGGATGCCCGGACTGAAGGTGRTAAGAGACCCTGGGGCTCCTCAGATGCCCTCGCTGCTCTTGCTGCCAGACCCCAGTCTCTATTGGTCTCAAAGAGCTACCGCCCCTGTGCTTAACACAGATGTTTGCAGCTGCCTTCACTGCTTCAGACGTGTCTGTTACTGTGTTTGTGCCTTGTCCCTGACCCTACAGAAGCTCTTACCCTCCTGGCCTCCCCTCTCCCTGTCACCTCKGCTCAGTTTTATGGGGGAAACTCGTTATTCCCTGAGAGGGATGGGGGCTCGGAGAGAGCCGGGGAGCCCCTGCTCAGGCAGACGTGGGGGACCGGAGCAGCCTGTGGGGCCAGGGCTGGGACGGGCTCTTCATGCTGCAGCAAGCAGGGCTTTCAAAAGTCCAACCTGATTAGACTCGTTATGCAGTAATCTCCAACTTATTATGAACCTCGATCAACCTCTGCCCAACAAAGGATTAGAAAGATTCTTTTTTTATTCATTTCCAAACCCAGCATGCCTTTCCCGCAGCAGAAATAACAAACACAGGGAGGAATTTGCTGATCTAAAATCATTCCTCCCTAGCAACTTTGTTATGCCGCGATGCTGGATGAAGACACAGGTAAAACATGGGGCACTCCTGGCACGCAGGAGTGCGGGAGAGCCCCAGCTCGGCTGCCAGCTACGGAGCTCCAGGCTGCCAAGTTATGCATTAAACGGCTTCCCAAGCAAGCCCTCAGCACGGCAACCATAAAAGCTCAACGTGTGTTCGGCTCCAGTGAACCGCTACCTCCCCAAGCAGCCACATGCCTTCCCGGGGGGAATTGGGGTCCTATCCTCTATCAGTGGAAAATCCCCAAATGGCAGGTGAGTGTGRAGACCCTCAAGGCTTCCGCCGTAGCAGCACGGTCTCCAAATGCTCCCGCACCACATGCCGAGAGCAAGCAGGACACCGGGAAGAGCCACTTCCCTTCCCGCTCGGGAAGGGCCTTTTCCTGCACTGCCTTCACACACAGAGCGTGGGCGTCAGATCAGAGCGGCCTGGAAAACACGCGGCACAAAATACAGCCCAAGGACAAGGTCAGGGCAAATTATGGAGGCCCAAGGGCCGCCTCCTTCCTTCCAGCCGCCCGYGTTGTTCCCAGCTGGCGGGCGGCAGCTCTCGGTCAGCAAATGCTGTGTTGGGCACTACGGGRAATACGGAGAGCTCAACAGGGCCCCTATTTTGTGAGCTCTTTCAAAGAGCATTTTAATGAACCTTTATCCATCGATGTGAACCAATGTGCCCTCTATTCATCTATATAGTCATCCATGCTGGAAAAATGTGCGCATCTTCCRTAACACTTTGCCTGCGGGCCGTTAACTAACTCCCTCTATAACGAGTTCTTTGTCTCTGGGCTGCTTTATTTAGCCTGTGGGACGGCTAGAAAGATGCTTGACGTCTCCCCGAAGTTAAGGAATGGGATGTTTGGGCAAGCGAAGGGGGTCAGACGTCAGGAAGAGCATCTAACGTGTGCTTCGGCCTCCTCCTCTTCCTCGGCCCGGCGCCCGCGTGCCGGCGCCTCCCTTCCTCCCCGCGGCAGCCCTCGGCATTTCCTCCCGCACAAACAAGCGGCGCTGGAGCCAAACGAGCCCCCTCGCTCTGACCCCACTCGAGGACAAGAAAACGCACACGCAGCTCCCCAAAAACACACACAGCTCCCCAAAACGCACACACAGCTCCCCAATGCAGGTAATGCAAGGACGTGCGTCCTGGATGGCCTCTCAGACTCCAAAGGCTCCCGCCCGTCGTCCCCACAGGACGCAGGCCCGGGATTTGTGCAGGGCAACTTCAGCACCCTGTGAGCCTGAAGCCCAAGTCCCCATCCCCAAGGCGCTACTGTCTGYGCTTTCAGAAGCAGTGCTGAGATTCACAATCCCCGGGAGCTGGGAGGCCACAGAAAGGCCCGGGAAGCTCCGGCGCTACGGAAGCTCCGCAGCASGAGCTGGGATAGCGCACCCAAGGGGGAGAAATGCTGCCTGCTGCTGCGGGGAGTTTCTCCGGGCTCTGGCTTGCTCCGTTTCTCAGGAGCCTCCCGCCGGGGTGGCCGTTTCGCACTGCCGAGTTCCTGGCTCCGCCGGCTCCTCTGCACACRGTTTGCACGGAGCCACGCGGGGTGAGAGGGACAAGAGCCGAGCGCTTAACCCCATTCCCGCCCAGCCTCCACTGCTCCGCTGGGCCGGCAGGYGGTCCAGAGACGCTGTTTTGCAAGACCCAGTTGGCCCAAGTCATGGGAAGGAGGGGAAGGAGGAGGTGGAGGTGGTGACCCCGCACAGACTGTGTTTATGAGCCCGCTGCTCCGGCAGGGCTGTCCTTGAGGCGCGCCGGCCTCCCCGCTCCCAGCACTGCTCGGAGGGAAGCCAGGATTCCTAGCAGGCCCAAGCAGCAGAGACTCCTCCACTCGGAGAGCGTTCTGGGAGTGAAAGCTTTGGAACAGCCACTTACTCCGAGGGTTTCCAGTCCTTTTGTTGGGCTCATGGTCATCCCCGTGCACATCCCGCTCCCGCCCTGGGCCCGTTGGACCACGGCCACGCGGAGCCGCGCGGCTCCGGTGCTGGGAGCCCATGGAGAGGGGCTGCATCTCCGTGCGTCTCCGCACTCCGAGCTGGGGCAGCTCAGCGTGGCCCGCGCTCCATTTAAGGCATTTTTGAAAGCATTTCACTGCTTTACAAGCATTTCCATGGGACAAGGCCYGGCAGGGAGCATTCGGGACCAGCTTTTTCCCTGCGGGAAGGCTGCCGGCACAGCTCACCGGGCTCACGGGGAGGCCCCGGCGGGCAGGCAGGCGTCCAAATTACTCCCAGGCATGTAAAAACCCGCCTTTATGAAGGTTTTAACCCACTTGGCACCGCTCTGCCCGGGTGCCCAGAGGCGGATCCTGCACAGCCCAGACCCTTATGTGGCCGTGAGCGCCGGAGCATCTCCAGGGCGCCACTACCGAGGGCGCCGCGCTCGCCGCTGAGCCGGCCTTGCCCAACACAACCCAACGTGCTCCGGCCAGGGCCAGCAGCGCCCTCGAGGCTGCCGAGTCCTGCCCCAAACGGAGAGGAGGCTCCTCGGCCTCTCCCTCTGCTGGGGGGCAGCTGGGGTGAGGGGATACGGGGCCCGCGAGGATGGAGGGAGGGAGGGATGGAGGGAAGAAGGGATGAGATGGAGGGAAAGAAGGAGGGTTGGGATGGAGGGAAGGAAGGCTGGGCTGCAGGGAAGGAAGAAGAGATGGGATGGAGAGAAAGAGGGAGAGATGAGATGCAGGGATGGAAGGAGGGTTGGGATGGAGGGAAGGAGGTAGGGTTGGGATGGAGGGAAGAAGGGTCAGGAGGGAAGGATGCAGGGATGGAAGGAGGGTTGGGATGGAGGGAAGGAGGTAGGGTCGGGATGGAGGGAAGAAGGGTCAGGAGCGAAGGATGCAGGGTTGAGAGGGAAGGATGGAGGGTTGGGATGGGGGAAGGAGGGTTGGGATGGAAGGAGGGCTGGGATGGAGGGAAGGGGGAGCGGGAGGCAGGAGGCGGTGGGCGCCGCACCTTGCTCGCAGGCTCCCTTGCTGCGCTGGCTGATGGCGGGCTCGCCGCGGCTCTGGGCGCGCAGGCTGGCGGCGCGCAGCTGGCAGCCGCTGCCGTAGGTGAGCCCGTCGCTGCCGCACACCGGGTAGCGGCTCTTGCACACGCACACGCCGAGCGGCGCCGCGGCCGTCGACGGCAGCTCCGCGCCGCCCTTGGCCTTGCGGCGCTTGCGGCTCTTGACGCACTCGAGGCCGGCGGCGCAGCGGCCCTCGGCGCCGCACGGCTCGCCCTCGCCGCGGCCGCACT